GGGGAGGAGCGGAGTTAGGGGGAAGCGGAGCGGGCGCGGGGAAGGAGGAAGGATGGGGGCGCGGTGGCTGCGCGGAGCTTAGGGCCCGGGAGGTGGCCGAGCTGCCCCGGCCCGCACTGGGGCGAAAGCTGGCAACTCCCTTCCTCGCAAAGCTGTGCCACGAAACTCCCGGCAGTTCTTTCCTGAGGAGGCGCCTAAAAGCCGAGCGGCCCGGGAGGACTTGCTCTCCGGAACCTTGTGTGTAAACTGGACCCCAGCTCTAGGAGTTAGAAGCCGTGTCCCTGTAATAAGGCAAGTTCCTTCACCCCCCGGGCCCTCAGCTTCTCATCTGAGAAGTGGGCATAATGATAGGACCTGACTCATCTATTTTTTAAAAAACGTGTAATGCCAGGATTACATGTGTAGATAAGTTGTGGCACATAGTAACTCCACAAATGATAGAAATAATTAGATACTTTTTTCTTAACCATCTTTTGAATATTCCACAAGAAAAAAGATTTGGCCAGTCCCGATTTGTATTGAGAAAACAAAAACGAGACAAAAAGATTTTGTAACATAACCTTTTGTAACATCTTTATCAGATGATGGGAAGAAATTAAATTTTCTTACGCCTTTAGTCACACTGTAGTGCACCTCTTACCTTTTAAATATTGTTTTTCTGACACTAAATACATATTCAAATGACAAAACCGCACCAATGGACTTTTTGTGTTGATCCAATAAATTATCATTTTCCAATAAATTATCAGCATGAAGCGTCTCTAATAAATCATTCAGAAATCTATCATGCAGAGTAGAAAAATCTTAACCATCTACTTGAATTACTACTTAGGGAAAATTTGGTTGTATGACATTAATCAAATTATTTCAGCATCTGCTTTGTTCTTTCTTTCATTGACTTTAAGGTGTCAGGCTCATAATATGCTTTAAATTATTTTGCTACATCTATGATATGTAACCTGAAAAAAATAATAGCATAATGAATAACTCCCAGTGTCCAACAGAAGCACTAGGTTCTAATTTCTAATCTGACCACAATTTGTTATGTAATCTGAAGATTATTATGTACTCTCTTTGCTTTGCTTCAGTCCCCCATCTATAGGTATGCTGATACTGTTGTTTCTAAAATAGTGTAAATGATAGTACTTTTAAGTGTATGTAGATATAAATTACCATTATTACCACCTATTTTCAGAGCCTCTACTGAAGGACAGTGCTGTGACATTCTTGTGAAGACTGTCTGCAGGTAGTCTCTAATCCTAGATTCGTTTTCCATTAACATTTTTTCCCACCACTCTCTGAGGGAAATTCCAGTGGACTACTCTGTGACATCAGGACTTGGGTGATTTCTGTGCTGTGACACCATCCTGACCTCAGGCAATACTTTCTTTTGTCCCCATTTATCTTGCCGAAGGCTAAGTCCTCATTAACTTCAAAGTCTTTGAAAACTGCTTTCTGATCTGACAACTTGAACTCTTTTCTCTATGTGAATAAGTTTTATAAGTCTTATCTTTACCTTTCTCTCCCTACCAAATCCCAACTGTCTACAAATATAAATTCCACAAGAGCAAAGATTTTGGCCTATATTGTTCTCCACTATATCCTTTTTTAAAAAATATATATATATATATTTATTGATTTCAGAGAGAGGAAGGGAGAGAGAGAGAGAGAAACATCAATGATGAGAGTCATTGATTGGCTGCCTCCTGCACGAGCCGACCCCCCGGGGATTGAGCCCGCAACCTGGGCATGTGCCATGACCTGGAATCGAGCCGAGATCTGGATTATAGGTCGATGTTGAACCACTAAGTCATACGAGTGGGGCTCCACTATATCCTTAACATCTAGAGTAGTGCTGGCAGTCAGTATTTGTTGAATGAATTTGAACATCCTCTTGTCTCTTGATCTTTTAAAACCTAATTCCTTTACCACATCTTTTTTTAAAAATATGTTTTTATTGATTTTAGAGAGAAAGGAAAGGAGAGAGAACAAAACTGATTAGTTACCTTCTCTATGCATCCCGACAGGGGACAGGTCTGCAACCTGGGCATGTGCACTGACTCAGAATTGAACCCTCGACCTTTTGATGCACAAGACAACACTCAACCAACCAAGCCACACTGGCCAAGGCTTTCCCATGTCTTTATTTCTGTCAGTATCATTATTTTCCTAGTCTCACAGGTTTAGAAGGTTGAGCTTTCATTTTTACTAATTTTCTTTTTAATCTTCAAAGTTAAGTACTATTTAAGTCCTTTTGAATTTTCTCAATTGTAGACCCTTAAGATTCATCAGGTATGAAGTTAAACACCTTAAAAAAATTCCCCTGAAATATAGAGAATATAACTTTCCCAGTAAAGTATATATGCCACAACATGAATATAAAAGCAAGGTTGTATCCCTGGCTGGGTAGTTCAGTTGGTTAGGGCGTCATCCAGCTATGCCAAGGTTGTGGGTTCAATCTCCAGTCAGGACACATACAAGAATCAACCAATGAATGCATAAATAAGTTGAATAACAAATTGATGTTTCTCTTTCTCTCCCTCTTCCCCTTCCTCTTTCTAAAATCAATAAATGAAAATTTAAAAAGTGAAAATAAAAGCAAGGTTGTATGTGTATACAGAGCAGTCACTAGCTAACACTCCTGTACACCAATGTCAAAGACTACATTTCAAATTCAAACCCTAGTAAAATTACAAATGACTATGTCATGAGGCTTTGGGGCCTCTAGTTAGTAGTTGAAACTGTTATGGTCATAATTAGCTAGTTAATTAATAATATGAAAATAGCAAAGGGGAAGCCAGAAATTATAAGCATGGTAATCTAGGCAGCTTGACCAGGAATTCACAGCTTCACTGTCCCTTGGTAACTACCAGCGCATTCCCAGCAGATCACTGCGAGAAGGAAACAAACTTATGGGGTGATGGGCACATGGGTAGTGAAGTCGGGGTGATGTAGGGAAGGTGCTTGCCTGTCAGTCTAGCCTGAGAAATAATGCATTGGCCAGGGGTTGGACCCCATCACAAACACACAAAATCTTGGAAGATTAAAATCCCCAAAGAGTTTTGCTTCGTGCCCCACTCTCGCCTGTGTGCTTGCCTGTTCTCTCTCCACTTGCCTGTTCTCTCTCCACAGCCATGCGGCCTTAAGCAGCCGCATGGCACATGGCCGTGCAGACCCCACACGCAATGAACTGCAGCTGGGAACACAAGCTAAGCTATCCAGATGCGGTACTGGACCATGCTTTAATATAGAACAGAAATTCTGGGCAGTGGCCTTAATTCTGGCCCTGCTGAAGACAAGATTGGACATTTTCCATAGCGAGGCAGATGGAGAGGAACCTAATTTTATGTCATCACAAAGCTTTCCACAAAACACGTGGGGACCTCAGGAAATTCTTTTCCTCTCAGCATCCCAAGAACTCCACTTCCACTAATAAAACGACCTATAAAAATTCTGTAAATTCCAAGTATGGAAATAACACCGAAATGAGAATAAGCAAAAGATTTATTTAGAGATTATAGCAAGGCAATCAACCACCATCACTTGCATTTGATGACTCAGACAGGCAGAGGGATGGAAAAGCTTTAGAAAAAAGGGAAGGCTTTAGGTATGCCCTAATTGAAGGAGGTTGGCATGGGGAAGGCTAACCAGAAGCAAGGCATTCTGTGTGGCTAGTCAGGGGTGTACCTTTGCCTTTCTTTGGTTGGTCCTAAGTTGTATATATAACAAAACTAAGGACACTCACAGTAATTGTTAAGACCTAACCATTTTGGGTCAGTTGCCACA